CAGCAACTAGAAGAATTTAGAAAACGCTATTATAATCATATTGTCAACTGAATCCAGTTTTCCTATACTCCTTTATGTTATACATATTATCTTCGTCTACAGGTTAACTCTGAGAATTTTTTCACACCCAAACACACACACACACACACACACACATATATATATATATATATATATATATATATATAAAGTGAATATTGAATCAACACTCAGAGTCACTGAGTGTTGACTTCAATGTTCACTTTTATATTTACATTCACTCTATCTCTGATAGCCAGCAATTTATCACATGTAGCATCTCTAAAAATATATTTCTTTATATTACTCTGTAATTGAGCACTCTTTTAAGAATAGTAATTGTTGGTTATTGGAATTATATATATATATATATATATATATATATATATATATATATATATATATATATATATCGTACACACTGGCGTATCATGCAGCATTTGAAGACCTAATTTTGAAGCTAATTTGACTATAGTAAATAGATATATAGTTTGGTTAGGGCCAGAAATACATACACTAATTTTATATCTCATGTATGCAATGTATTCTGTTGAGGTTTCAGACTCGATGAATTACTTATATATATATATATATATATATATATATATATATATATATATATAAAGGCAAAAGAGACACTTACCTTAGCCGACGCATTTTGTCTTATGTGGGACTTTGTCAAGGTAAATGCGAGGATTTTATTTTAAAACAAGTTTTGTATACAAGTGAAAAATGTTATCGATTTTTCAAACCATTAAAGTGGAGAAACTCTCATAAATATTCATCAGGTAAGCTGAAAGTTCAAGTAAGTTATGGGAGACGCAAAAGAACACAATTCAGTATCCAATAAACGAACGTGAGTAAGTAAGGACTTTGAATGTTTTTCTTAATGTAAATTAGTATTGAAATTATTTTACTTTGGTATTAATTCATGTGTTATGTATTTTGAATAACATGGGTTTATGGATTTAATGTACATCACAGCTTATTCATATCTTTCTATATATCTCAGTTTGTTCATATCTATCTATCTATCTATCTATCTATCTATCTATCTATCTATCTATATATATATATATATATATACATATTTAAGAAAGAACCACCCCTTATCAAAATTGGGTTTTTCCGTAACCTTAACAACTTAAATTTTTAAAATTCTGTACTTACAAGTTAAGTAAATTTCTTAATAGGTTATTCAAAAATTCGCTTAAGAATGGAACGGAGTTATGAATTTTAAATTTCATTTTATAATTAAATTTTATTTTCTGTTTTGAAACATGGTAATTCCTGTGTAGCGATGGAACCACATTTTAAAATAGAAAATAATTATAATATCTATCTATCTATCTATCTTAATTTGTTTATATATATATATATATATATATATATATATATATATATATATATATATATATATATGTCTCTAAATTTAACTCAGTCTGTTTCTATCTATTTAAGACTGAACACCGGCAGAAGAAAACGATTTAAGTTGCCATTGTTAAAGAGTATATTCTGTGTTTGTGCGTGTGTGCGTTTACTTGTCGAGAATTAGCACAGCTATGCATCCATATATAAGAAAACAGACACGTCAGCTAGAAGGAAGGAAATCGCGACCTGGCGATTTGGTTACCGTTGTTACCAGTTGTGTGTGAGAGAGAGAGAGAGGGGAGGAAAGAGGGAGGGAGGAAGAGAGAGAGAAAGAGGGAGAGAAAGAGAGAGGGAAAGAGAGAGGGAGGGAGAAAGACTTAAAAAGAAACATGGTTGTCTTCCTCTTCAATCATGTTGACAGGTGCAAACCGACTTCCCTTCAAACCCCTGCCGTTTTCCTCAATAAAAACCGATCGTGCAAGGAAGCAAATTGTGCTGAACTGTCGCCGCATGCAACAAGGATTTTCTCGTTTTTTTCCCTTTATCTTGAATTTATAGCAGGATTTTTGGCGGCATTGTTTCGTTGATTGAGAAACGGAATCAGTATTGGAATTTGTTAATTCTTTATTCGTTTCATCCGTTCTTATCTATCTATCTATCTATCTATCTATCTATCTATCTATCTATCTATCTATTTCCACCTCTCTATCTTGACCTTTTCTCTCTCTCTATCTCTCTATTTATCTATGTATCTATTCATCTATCTCCTCTTTCTTTCATTCTATCTATCTATCTATCTATCTTCACCTTTCTCTCTCTCTCTCTCTATCTATCTATCTATCTATCTATCTTTCTTTTTCATTCTTTCTTTCATTTTTTTCTTTCATTCTTTCTTTTTTTTTTCTATCTATCTATCTATCTATCTATCTATCTATTCATCTATTCATTTTCTATCTATTATCTATCTATCATTATCTATCTATCTATCTATCTATCTATTCATCTATTATTCATCTATCTCCTCTTTCTTTCTATCTATCTATCTATCTATCTATCTATCTATCTATCTATTTATCTAGTATCTTAATATCTATCTATCTATCTATCTATCTATCTATCTATCTATCTATCTATCTATCTATCTATCTGGCCCTGTTCATATCTATCTCTCTGCTTTGGAGAATAGACCAACAAGTATTTATCTGAATATGATTAGCTGAATTATTTTCACTGAATATAATAGTTAATCTACCTTATGAATTGCGATGACTTGTGTTGATTTTCTTAGCAATGAAGCAGATTATGTTGAAGATAAATGTCTCTTTTGGGGGCAAAATTCAATGCTTTTTTTTATGATGGGGCGATCAAAATTATCGATTTGCTTCAATTTTTCTTTCTTTGTTTCTGCCTTTTGATGTAAATATTTTCGTTTTCATTGTTTTTCAGTTCCTATTTTTAAAACAAACTTTTATACTTCAGTCTTTTTTGTTCGTTTCCCAGCAATTACCTTTTATTCACTCTCTTATCAGATATTTTTTCTTTTCTTTCCTTCTTTATTTCTTTTACTTTCTATTCGTTTTTCTTTTCTTTTTCCTCTATTTTTCGCTTCACTCTGCCTTTCCTTTTTTTTTACTTTTCTTTTTCTCTCTTTTTTTCTCTTCGTTCTGCCTTTACTTATGACTTCGTTTCCTTCATTTTTAAATTCATATCTCTTCACTTCTTTTCTTTTCTTCCTTCATCCATTCGAATATCTTTCATTTCATAACTCTTTTTTCTTTCTTTGTTGTAACCAAATAAATGGTTAAGTAAACCAGAAGAGTATTACACGACTAGAAAGGGTGTATCAAATGAACTAGCGATCAGTCCATTCACTGTACACTGTTAACTGTTCTTCAAACCTTCTCTCCTACTAAATTTATAGTAGGCAGATGAGTATAACATAGACTCTTTAGAGGGAGGACACCACAACATTTTTTTTCGTTCTTTCGCTCTTCTTTCTTTCTTTCTTCCATTCATTTCTTCAAATTTTTCTTCATTCACCCATTCGTTCAGTCTTTTTTATATTTCATTCATTCATTCATTCAAAGCTTCTTGCATTTTTTAGTCTGTCTTTCTTTCGTTCTCTCATTAATTAATTCATTTTTCCTTTCAATCAATTCTTCCTTCCTTCCTTCCTTCCTTCCTTCTGGTTAAAGCAATAAACAACATCCGTCAACAAGGCCTCTGATTGGGAGACTGGAGGTTTTGGGGAACGTAGAACCAGATCTTAATTGCTGCTGTTCCCAGGTCCACCCTGGTCCTGTGTGGTAGCACCTGTCAGGGTCCCAGCAATGGGAAAATAGTTAACACCCAAACAAAAACAAGACACATTTACAGTGTAAAAATACCAGCAATACATTTTTATATAAGACAATTACTAACAGTAGATATTATAGTAAAACTGACAACAATACCCACATACTAATAAACTGTTGCGACTTCCCCCAAATCCGTTTAAAATACTGCAAGACAGGCAACACTAAAGAACTATTTCACTAAATTAATCCATATAATATTCAACAAAGCTAAAATATCAAACACATATATCACTGCTTCTAGTAATTATGACCACACAAATATCTATATGCACAAAATCTGAGTATCACCTACCATGTATTCAACTGTGAAAGCAGAATAACATATATGATAGTTTTATTGTTTTCAAGTTCCCAAGAAAATTAAATTTACTCATTAAATGACCTATAAAGGTGTTGATGTGCCGTTAAACAAAAGTTTTTTTTCTTTCAATCATTCAGTCTATCTTTCATTTAATTTTTCTCTCTTTAATTCATTAAACCTTTCTCTCATTCATCCAATATTTCATTCATTGATTCTATCTATCTATCTATCTATCTATCTATCTATCTATCTATCTTTCTTTCTTTCTTTCTTTCTTTTTTCTTTCTTTCTTTCTATTCTGAACCCACCAACCCACATCCTTGTCTCTAGTAAGTGATTAACCAATCAGTAGTCCTGTACGTTGTGAGGAAGAACATCTGAGTAAGTAGCAGGTGTTTACGTCTGTATTTTGGCTGAAACGTTAGCAGTTCGCGCCATTTTTTTTCACCGTGTTCCTACAAACAGGTTTCGTTGTTGAAGGAAGCCAAAATATTCATGGAACATTTTTCGTTTACATTCTTTGAATTGTCTCAAAAGTTTCGAACTGTTTCCAAAAATGTAAAAATACATTCAAGCATCACGTATAGCTATAGCCTGAAAGATAATCAAAATCTTTCCGAAAAAGAAGATATATTTTAATTAACATTAACGAAAGTAAAGAGTGACTGAAAGAAAGATTGAATTAATTAATGAAAGAACAAAGGAAAGACAGGCTGAATAAATGCAAGAAGCTTTGAATGAATGAATGAATGAATGAATGAAATATAAAAAAAAGAGGTTCCAGGCGAATCAAAACCTCCAATCTTCCAATCAGAGGCCTTGTTGCCGGATGTAGTTTATCGTCTTCCCCAGGACTAATAACTGAAGGAAGGAAAGTGTGAAGGAAGGAAGGAAGGAAGGAAGGAAGGAAGGAAGGAAAGAGTGATTGAATCAATCAAACAAGGAAAGAAAGATTAACTGATTAAATGGAAGAAAGCTTGAGGGAAAGAGAGAGAGAATAGACAGAACGAAGAGAAAAAAGAGAAAAAAAGGAAAAAAAGAGAGAGAGAGAATAGACAGAACGAAGAGAAAAAAGAGAAAAAAAGGAAAAAAAGAGAGAGAGAGAATAGACAGAACGAAGAGAAAAAAGAGAAAAAAAGGAAAAAAAGAGAGAGAGAGAATAGACAGAAGAGAAGAAAAAAGAGAAAAAGGAAAGAGAGAGAGAGAATAGACAGAACGAAGAGAAAAAAAAAAAAAAAAAAAAAAGAGAGAGAGAGAATAGACAGAACGAAGAGAAAAAAGAAAAAAAAAAAAAAAAAGAGAGAGAGAATAGACAGAACGAAGAGAAAAAAAGATAAAAAAAAGGAAAAAAGAGAGAGAGAGAATAGACAGAACGAAGAGAAAAAAGAAAAAAAGGAAAAAAAGAGAGAGAGAGAATAGACAGAACGAAGAGAAAAAAGAGAAAAAAAGGAAAAAAAGAGAGAGAGAATAGACAGAACGAAGAGAAAAAAGAGAAAAAGGAAAAAAAGAGAGAGAGAGAATAGACAGAACGAAGAGAAAAAGAAAAAAAGGAAAAAAAAGAGAGAGAGAATAGACAGAACGAAGAGAAAAAGAAAAAAAGGAAAAAAGAGAGAGAGAGAGAATAGACAGAACGAAGAGAAAAAAGAAAAAAAGGAAAAAAAGAGAGAGAGAATAGACAGAACGAAGAGAAAAAGAGAAAAAAGGAAAAAAGAGAGAGAGAGAATAGACAGAACGAAGAGAAAAAAGAGAAAAAAAAAAAGGAAAAAGAGAGAGAGAGAGAATAGACAGAACGAAGAGAAAAAGAGGAAAAAAAAAAGGAAAAAGAGAGAGAGAGAGAATAGACAGAACGAAGAGAAAAAAGAGAAAAAAAGGAAAAAAAGAGAGAGAGAGAGAATAGACAGAACGAAGAGAAAAAAGAGAAAAAAGGAAAAAAAGAGAGAGAGAGAATAGACAGAACGAAGAGAAAAAAGAGAAAAAAAGGAAAAAAAGAGAGAGAGAGAATAGACAGAACGAAGAGAAAAAAGAGAAAAAAGGAAAAAAAGAGAGAGAGAATAGACAGAACGAAGAGAAAAAAGAAAAAAAGGAAAAAAGAGAGAGAGAGAATAGACAGAACGAAGAGAAAAAAAAAAAAAAAAAAAAAAGAGAGAGAGAGAATAGACAGAACGAAGAGAAAAAAGAGAAAAAAAAAGGAAAAAGAGAGAGAGAATAGACAGAACGAAGAGAAAAAAAAAAAAAAGGAAAAAAGAGAGAGAGAGAATAGACAGAACGAAGAGAAAAAAAAAGAGAAAAAAAGAAAAAAAGAGAGAGAGACAGAACGAAGAGAAAAAAGAGAAAAAAGAAAAAAAAAAAGAGAGAGAGAGAATAGACAGAACGAAGAGAAAAAAGAGAAAAAAAGGAAAAAAAGAGAGAGAGAGAGAATAGACAGAACGAAGAGAAAAAAGAGAAAAAAAGGAAAAAAAGAGAGAGAGAGAGAATAGACAGAACGAAGAGAAAAAAGAGAAAAAAGGAAAAAAAAGAGAGAGAGAGAGAATAGACAGAACGAAGAGAAAAAAGAGAAAAAAAGGAAAAAAAGAGAGAGAGAGAATAGACAGAACGAAGAGAAAAAAGAGAAAAAAAAAAAAAAGAGAGAGAGAGAGAATAGACAGAACGAAGAAAAAAAAAGAAAAAAAAGGAAAAAGAGAGAGAGAGAATAGACAGAACGAAGAAGAAAAAAAAGAGAAAAAGAAAAAAAAAAAGAGAGAGAGAATAGACAGAACGAAGAGAAAAAAGAGAAAAAAGGAAAAAAGAGAGAGAGAGAATAGACAGAACGAAGAGAAAAAAAGAAAAAAAGGAAAAAAGAGAGAGAGAATAGACAGAAGAGAAGAGAAAGAGAGAAAAAAGGAAAAAAAAGAGAGAGAGAATAGACAGAACGAAGAGAAAAAAGAGAAAAAAGGAAGAGAGAAGAATAGACAGAAGAAGAGAAGAGAAACGAAAAAGAGAAAAAGAAAAAGAGAGAGAGAGAATAGACAGAACGAAGAGAGAAAAAGAAAAAAGGAAAAAAAAGAGAGAGAGAATAGACAGAACGAAGAGAAAAAGAAAAAAAGGAAAAAAGAGAGAGAGAGAATAGACAGAACGAAGAGAAAAAAGAGAAAAAAGGAAAAAGAGAGAGAGAGAGAATAGACAGAACGAAGAGAAAAAGAGAAAAAAAAAAAAGAGAGAGAGAGAGAATAGACAGAACGAAGAGAAAGAGAAAAAAAGGAAAAAGAGAGAGAGAGAGAATAGACAGAACGAAGAGAAAAAGAGAAAAAAAAAAAAAAAAAAGAGAGAGAGAGAATAGACAGAAAGAAGAGAAAAAAGAGAAAAAAGGAAAAAAAGAGAGAGAGAGAATAGACAGAACGAAGAGAAAAAGAGAAAAAAGGAAAAAAGAGAGAGAGAATAGACAGAACGAAGAGAAAAAGAGAAAAAGGAAAAAAAGAGAGAGAGAATAGACAGAACGAAGAGAAAAAAGAAAAAAAGGAAAACAAAAGAGAGAGAGAGAATAGACAGAACGAAGAGAAAAAAAAAAAAAAAAAAAAAGAGAGAGAGAGAATAGACAGAACGAAGAGAAAAAAAAAAAAGGAAAAAAGAGAGAGAGAGAATAGACAGAACGAAGAGAAAAAGAGAAAAAGGAAAAAAAAGAGAGAGAGAATAGACAGAACGAAGAGAAAAAAGAGAAAAAAAAGGAAAAAAAGAGAGAGAGAGAATAGACAGAACGAAGAGAAAAAAGAGAAAAAAAGAATGAAGGAAAGAAATATAAAACAATATTGAACGAATGGGTCAGTGAAAAAAAGATTAAATAAATGAATGGAAAATTGTAAGTAAGAAAAAGAGAGAAAGATAGAACAAAAAAAGAAAGAAATAACGAAAAAAGAAAGAAAGAAAGAATAATGAAAGGAAAGATATTCGAAAGGATGAAGGAAAGAAAGAAAAGAAGTGAAGAGATAATTTTTTAAAAAAATGAAGGAAGCGAAGTCATAAGTAAAGGCAGAACGATGAGAAAAAAGAAAGAAAAGGAAAAAAGAGAGAAAGGATAGAATGAACGAAGAGAAAAAAAGAAAGAAAAGGAAAAAACGAGAGAGAGAATAGACAGAACCAAGAGAAAAAAAGAGAGAAAAAGAAAAGTAAAAAAGAGAAGCTGAGTGAAGAGAAAAATAGATGAAAAAGAAAAAAACATAAAAGAAGAGAAGAACGAATGGAAAATCGAAGAAATAAGGAAAAAAGTTTGATAAGAGTGTGAAAAAAGTTCTCTTCTTAAGACGATAAGTTTGTTTGATTGACGAAGTCTATACACAATTTGCCAATAGCTGTTATTGTGTAAGTTCAACAATTTCTTAATAAAGAAGAAATGATTTAATTGTTAAGGGGTCCACCCATTTTTCATACAAGTGGACTCGCCCAGTGTGTACTTGTACTGCTGCCGGTGAATACCCAGAGACAGTGACAGTGATACAGTGAGAGAGTGAGAGTGTGAGGTAACCGCTTTTTAGGAGTCACAGTTGCGAGTACGTAGACTCAGAAGGAAGCCCTACTTCGATACTGAATTTCCCAGACTATATATATATATTATTATTGCTACTAACCGCATTTTTGGATCTACTAACCGTATTACAAATTGTATTATTACGCCAATACGTTTGTTTGCTATATTTCATTCCTGCGTTTGTCATTCATTTTGAGATCAGATTTGTTCCCGAAATCCACAACATTAATAAACATCATCGAACGAATATCATGTAACTGGAAGATAATTCTCTTCGTGTGGAAATGTCTATAGGCATTTTATAATAGCAACTAGTGTACTGGTTTCGTAAAAATGACGACGATTGTTAGAAAGTTTTAATTGTGAGAGGCGATGAAACAAGTCATGAAAGAATGTGCTGAGATTCATTGAAGCGAAGATAAAGAATTTGCAATAAAAATAGACGTCAATGAACCGTTTAAATATTCCGTTCCCTTTACATTTTTTAGGCTTTTAATGGTATCTAGGATTCATTGATTACACCTGGTATTATAGAACTCTCTTTTTGCTCAATATCTTTTTATTGTTAAAAATTTGATGTTTAATATAACAGTGAAATGGAAATATCACACGGAAGAAAAAGATTAGCAACTGAACAACAAAGGCGACGACAAAGTCTCTTTCAAGATAAAGTCGAAGCAATAGACAAACTCTTCTCTGCGTGCCTTGCATGAAAGGCTTGAACAAATAAGACTACAATCTACGAAACGTAGTAGTAAAAGGAACTGATTATTTAAACGGTTCATTTTGCTCGGGAACTAATTTTATCTAAATGCAGGTAAATATCTTATTTGCATAGATTATTAAAACGACTAAACGAAGTAATAACTCAAAAATTTACTAACTTAAGTTTATTTACTTCCCTTCTCACTAAAGATCGGATAGAAAATATATAAACAATTATTTAAGACATTTTTATGTTTATACATTCTTTTTTTATAGATACAAATATTTAAGTAAATGCTCTGTTTATAATAAACAGTATTAACAACATTTACCGGCCTGAATGTCCGAGAAATTTTCATAGAAAATATTCGTTCTCCGACAGGAATCGAACCTGTATCCTATACGGAATCGTCATATAGCCTGACGTGCTTTTACCGATTTAGCCACACAGGAGCATTTCGGTTAGCAAGAACGATTTTACTGTCTTTAAACTACAATTTTCCATGATTTTCTCATGTACATTCATATCTGCTCGATGCGTATCCAAATGTAAACAAATGACGTCACACATTATGAAATGGACAAAGTCCGACAATTATTTTAAGACATTTTTATGTTTATACATACTTTTTTATAGATACAAATATTTAAGTAAATTCTCTGTTTATAATAAACAGTATTAATAACATTTACCGGCCTGAATGTCCGAGAAATTTTCATAGAAAATATTCGTTCTCCGACAGGAATCGAACCTGTATCCTATACAAAACCGTCATATAGCCTGACGTGCTTTTACCGATTTCTATTTTGTCCAACAGTAAAATCGACCTTGCTAACTGAAACGCTCCTCTGTGGCAAAAATCACTGATTTTGGACGTCAAGTTTATCGGACTTTTCAAAGAAGAACATCCGACGTGGGGATTGACGAAATGAGCAGAAATTCTTCTTGGATGTTTCATTCTCATCAGTTATCACCAGTTTTCAACGATTGTCTCACATCTTTCTGGATTTATAGCTTTGTTTTTACTGGACACACTGTAGTTGAACATTAGCTTTCTGTTTTATACTGAAATCATGGCTAAAATTTCTGCTGCGACAAAGATGAATGGTGGTGACATTGAAGAAAAAATTATTCAAGGCGAGATAGCCAGCCAACAGTGAATTTCCAGAAACAGTGTTCAGATCGTACAAAAGACGTTTTCCTATTTTTGGAAATAAAACCAGAAAACAATAAAATTTAGAGATGAGAGCAAAAAGAAAGACTGAGATTATCAGTAGGGAATCCAAAATTAATAGTCAGACAAATGGCTGCTCGATCTTGTGACTCGTCATTTAAAGGTTCTGTCTTTCGTTCTGCCTTTCTTATATGTCTAAACATCTCACTGATTTTGAGCGTCAAGTTATCGGACTTTTCAAAGAAAAACATTCGACATGAGGATTGACGAAATGTGCAGAAATTCTTCCCGAATTTTTCACTCACATCAGTCGTCGTCAAGTTTTCAACGATTGTCTCACATCTTGTTGGATTTATAGCTTTTTTTTTTACTGGACACACTGTAGTTGCACATTAGCTTTCTGTTTTTCTTTTGTGTGCTCTTCTTTTAGGGCTAAACATCTCACTGATTTTGAGAGTCAAGTTATCGGGCTTTTCAAAGAAGAACATCCGTAGTGGCGATTGACGGAATGGGCAGAAATTCTTCCTGAATTTTTCACACACATCAGTCGTGACCAGTTGTCAACGATTGTCTCACATCTTTCTGGATTTACCAAATTTTTTATTCGGCACCCTGTAGAACACAGCGACTAGGAAGAATAATTTTAATAAATTCGCATCGCATGTCAATTTTTAAATGAATCACGTTTGAACGACGGCCTTAACTGACAAATTAGAATCCTTCCAGAAGTCTGACTCACAAGACATGGATTACAGGAGTGAATTTTGCAATGATAATTATGGTAATTAATGCACGGGAGGCGATGTGCTGGAAGGGTTACTCTAAATCAAATCTAGCGGGTCAGAGGTCAAGCACTGGCGTGTATAACTCAACAGGTGTTGCAATGTCGGTCTAAAATCGAGCCGGGGATCCAAGATTGAGAGTGGACATGTTCTCGAAACGAAATATGGTGCCAAATATTCAATTGTGTCGAGTGCTACTGTTTTATCGAGGACGATTTTCATTTACCATTGACGTACTCAAGAGGATCGGCCCCAGTACTTGTAAAATATTTGTTCCTGATCTGTGAGCGTATAAGTAACTCTGGTTTGTTATCTATCGATTTCTCAAATAAACGTAGAAGCAGGTTCGAGCCCTGTAGCAGAGAGCATTTTTCCTCTCTGATTCTAATTAAAAGCGTCGTTTTTCTTTCTATTCTCTTCACTTCGAACGAGAGAATAATAAAAAGAATTAAGGACAGAAGATAATGATTGACATTACATTTACATTTTTATATTATAAGAAGACACTCATCCAAAGAATTAATTAGTAATATTAATGTATTTAATGGCGAAATCTCTTCACTAACAGACTTAATACAGCGTTAACCTAACAATTCAATGAATGACGCTATACTTGTGTATGAAATTGTTGTCGGATAGATCTGTTGTAGTAAAGCAGAGAGTACTTTCGAAAGTTTCACATTTTCATCGTCATACTGTAATCGCGTCATTCAATGAATTGCTAGTAAGTTAATGCCTTATTAAGTTTGTTAGCGAAGAGATTTTGCCATTAATTACTAATTAATTCTTTTTATGATCATCTCTTCATGATATAAAATATATACTGCACAATATAATATGTTTACATTTTTTAAGTTCAAAGTCGGTCAGAAAGCAAAAACCCGGAAAAGAATTCCACAAGTGCGTCAAAAAAAAAAACTGTTAGCATGAAACTTACGGTTACATCGAACCATTTCAACTAGAGACGAGATCTTGTTGCCAATCAAGTATTGCGCTTAGATTCATGAAGTCTAGGTACCATAGAGGAAAGTTCATCAGAACAATTACCACGAAAGCATTTTTAGGAAATGCATAAGAAAGCTACGTTACGACGGTGGAGAAGTGAATGAAGTCGAGGTGCCAGGTCAGGACCAATAACATCGCAGATTCTTCTTTAGATTTTATCAAGAATCTCCAAATGTATAGCAGGACCACCAGACCATATGTGGCAATAATATTCAAAGCATGGATAAATGGTAGACTTATAAATATGTAAGATAGATTCTGGAGAGAAAAAAATGTCTAGTATGATACTGTAAACCAACTTTCATAGCAACAGGCATAGCATTTGATTCAATATAATCTTTTTAATTCATTTCAGCAGAAAACGTTAGCCCGCGAAAGCACAATAGGTCGTTCTCTTATACGTTTGCATCAGCCATGCTGATCGCAGGTAAAAATTGTTATCTCAGACGATTAAAGAAAGAGCAGTTTCGTTCTGGAGACGTTAAAATTAACAGGCCATTCCTTGCCCCAGTTAACAACGGATTGTAGGCCATTTTTTATATCAGCAGTCAATTTGATCTTACCGAACTGATCAGAAATAATATTAAAGCAGTGGTAAATAGTCGGATCATCAACATGTATTCCGAATTGAACACAATGTCATCATCAGGATTCTAAGACAAAAAACTGTTGTGCTCATAATTTTTCTAAGATAAAATTGTTGATCACATTGTACTAATGTCGAAAGTACTCGGAATAAAATAAACATGCGTCAACATAGTAATTATCTTTCTTTCTTTAATAAGGATACTAAGAAAATTATCCATAATTACGAGAAAAACTTGTCTAAATCATTGAATCAGATATGACTTTTATATATATATATATATATATATATATATATATATATATATATATATATATATATATATATATATAGGGGAAAATATTCGTTCACATACAAATTTTTAATTTATTGTATTTTCAACTAATGAATAAACACACTTTTCTTATAATTAAATGTACACAGATGCATAATAACTAAATATGTATAGAAAACAGAAAAATTGATTTAATAGAAATAAATCCCATTTATCCATTTTAATGAGTGAAAAAAGAATTCGTACAATACAAAAAAGAATACATAATCTTCATTTAATACTTTGTAGAATAGCCATTATTCACCTCTACAGCAACCAACCTCTTCCTGTAGTTCTCAGGTAATGATTTGCAAATTTTAGTTTGTATTTTGTTCCATTCTTCTTCGCATATGGTTTTCGGATTATGGGATGTTTGTTGGAGCTCTTGATTGGATTTGAATTTTCAAATAACGCCACAGATTCGCAATTGGGTTTAAATCTGGGGATTGACTTGGCCATTGCAGGATATTTACATTATTTTCATTAAGCCATTTCATCGTAGATTTGCAGTATGCTTAGGATCATTATCTTGTTGGAAGATTCAATCAGGAGGAATTTCATGATTTTCAACCAAAATCATTAAATTTGCTTCCAAAATATTTTGATATGCTGCGTCATTCATTCTACCATCTATTACTGATATGTTACCAGTACCTTTTGCAGAATAACACCCCCGAACCATCATGCTGCCGCTACCAGAGTTCACTGTTGGAATTGTGTTCTTTTTTAAAGATATCCCATCTTTCTTTCATACATGATTTCTAGATTTACGTCCAAATAACTCAATTTTGGTTTTGTCTAATTTTTTTCTTATCCTTATATTTGCGAACGAATTTCTTTTCAATAGCAATGGAGTTTTCCAAGAATAGCGTGACTTTAGATTATTCCTATGAAATTCATTGCTTAATGTCCGTTTAGTGATATAGATTTCTGATAAAAGCAAATCATTCCGGCTCTCTTTTCCGAGTAACCATTGGATTTTGTTTAATTTGACGAATTAATTTCCTCGACGATCTTGCAAAATTTTACCGTGGAGCACCTGTTTTTCTTTGGATTTCAACAGTTTTGAAATTTATAGCTTACAATGAATAAACTAATGGTACTAAATGGCATATTCGTATTGTCTGAGATTTTCCTGTAACTTTTACCTTCTTTCTACAGCTTGACAATCAGTTTTTTTTTGCGAATTTGTCAATGCTTTACCTCTTGCCATGATGAAAAACTTCTTGCATGAATATAAATTACAAAATGTTCTGTTTTATTTTTTAGGCTATTAATAATTACTGATAATATTATTGCAACATTCTAGAATAGCCACTTAAATAATTTTTATTATTAAAGTAATTTAAAACATTTAAAATGTGAAATTTGCATTGTACGAATACTTTTTCACCCATTAGAATTAATAAATGGGATTTATTTCTAAGCATATTTAGTTATTATGCATCTGTGTACAGTTAATTATATGAAAATTATGTTTATTCAATAGTTGTAAATAAAATATTGAACAAGTTGGCATATGTAAGAATATTTGTTTGTTTCCGCCACTATATATATATATATATATGTTGTGTCGGAAACCTACCACCCCTCTTGAAGATGAACTTGTCTGTGTCTGTGAACAAAGACTTTAAATAGTGGCATGTCAGTTGACATGGGGGTTGGGGGGAGACAGATAGACAGAGAAGTTCTTAGCTGAGCTAGTTATTGACTACTCAGGCGATTTCTGTACCTTTTTACCAACCTATTAAAACTCTTTTTATTGTTACGTGTTATTTGGCGTTTGTCTCTACTAACCATAAATATATATATATATATATATATATATATATATATATATATATATATATATACACACACATATATATATACACACATATATATATATATATACACACACACACACACACACACACATATATATATATATTCAATAACAAAAAAAAACAAATGACGAAGCACTAAAAAATGGATACACACAAGAACTACAATACACACCTCCACTTCCGAAACGCAAAAACAGAAAAAAGAAACGTTATCTGGTTTAACGCACCATACAACAAAACCGTCAAAACAGAGGAAGAATACTCCTAAACTTAACTAAAATAGCGTTAACATCAGTTACCACTTCACAAAAAATATAACACAAATAATAAAAAGCCACAACAAAAAGTAACAACCTGCAATAATGCAACCAAGGAACCTCAATGCAACTGCAGAAATAAAACAACATGTCCACTTCAAAGAAATTACCAACAAACAAATACAATATATAAAGTCAAGGTAATGCACATAACAGCACAATGTACTACAAAAAGCAAAAAGATTGGAAAGAAATTCCCGTCGAAAGAGCTATAATATCCAATTTCCTGAAAAAAAAAAGTTTTAATTGAAAAGAATTTATAAATTTCAACCAAAAGTAAATATCTCTAATTCACTTTTCGGTAAATGGATTCAGAATGTTTTATTGTTCTCACTATAGGGTCTTTATACATATAAACGTTGCGTATATAGATATCATCAATCAATGTTAATCTAACGCCATAAGCTATCATCTGACTATATTCAAACAAGCACACACACACACACACACACACATATATATATATATATATATATATATATATATATATATATATATATATATATATATATATATATATATATTTATATATATATATATATATATATATATATATATATATATATATATATATGTATAGAGAGAGAGATAGAGACCAAGATGGTATATATATATATATATATATATATATATATATATATATATATATATATGCAATTTTATATTTATATTATTTATATATTATATGCGTGGTACTTATAGGAAAGCGCTCAATATCAGTGATAGAGCTAACATATTTAGTTGGATTGATGAACAAAATGAAATAGATAGATAGATGGATAGATGAACAGAATGAGATAGATAGATAGAAGGACATAAAGCACAGCGGAGAGATGAGGCCAATAGTCTAAATAATGTAAATAGTGTACATAATACCTCATCTCAGAAATATAGACAGATACTTAAGGTCCAAAACGTTGTAATAAATATGGCAACAAAGATGAGAACAATAGTCCGAATAATGGAAATAGTGTATATAATACCTCATCTCAGGAATATAGACAGATACTAAAGGGCCGAAACGTTGTAATAAATATGGCGACAAAGATGAGGGCAATAGTCCGAATAATGTAAATAGTGTACATAATACCTCATCTCAGAAATATAGACAGATATTGAAGGGCCGAAACGTTGTAATAAATATGGCGACAAAGATGAGAACAATAGTCCGAATAATGTAAATAGTGTACATAATACCTCATCTCAGAAATATAGACAGACACTGAAAGGCCGAAACGTTGTAATAAATATGGCAACAAAGAATAGTCCGAATAATCTAAATAGTGTATATTATTTATTACAACGTTTCGGCCGCTGTACGCTCCTGCCTTCTTCAGGTTGTTGGAATGTCGAACTTAACCCTTTATTTTGCTCACTGGGGTACACTGATCTAGTTCCACGTGCCATGTTTAATGAATGTCAGTTATCAGTTATCTCCTGTTAATTCCCCTCTCCAAGTTCTCCACTGCCTTAACTGGGTATTGAACTCACACTCCTGAGCCGACCAAGCATAGAAATGAATACAATATGGGAACCAGTAATAAGGAGTGCCAGAGAAAAGCGTTAATAACAAAAAAGTTGCAATATGAGCTCTGTTAAAAACATGGAATTGTAACAGAAAAAATTGCAATATGAGCACTGGTAAAAATGGTTGCTGAAGACATTAGGTGAATAATACCCAGAAATCCATACACAGATGTCATCAAGGACACATGAAACAGTGGATAAAAGCGTTTGTTAGATCCTGTGACAGGACCCAAAGAGTGTGAGTTCCAGTTAAGGCAGTGGAAAACTTTCAGAGGGAAATTAACAGGAGATAACTGATAACTGACACCCATTAAGCATGGCACGTGGAAATAGAATAGTGTACCCCAGTGACAGACAGATACTGAAAGGCCGAAACATTGTAATAAATATGGCGACAAAGATGAGGACAATAGTCCAAATAATGTAAATAGTGTACATAATACCTCATCTCAGAAATATAAACAGATACTGAAAGGCCGAAACATTGTAATAAACATGTCGACAAATATGAGGACAATAGTTCGACTAATGTAAATAGTGTACATAATACCTCATCTCAGAAATATAGACAGATACTGAAGGTCCGAAATGTTGTAATAAATATGACAACAAAGATGAGGACAATAGTTTGAACAATGTAAATAGTGTACATAATACCTTATTATGTACACTATTTACATTATTCGGAAATGTAAGCCTCGGGGTAACAGTGATAGACTGTACTACCGAGTCTGTGACTGTTCGCAGCTCCTGTCGAACTCTCTGCCTTGTGCAGACGAATCTTTGCCGAAGGGCAGGGTTCAGTTAGGGAAGATAGACAGACCGGAACCCGTTTAAGTGGGTTATACAGGGATTTTGGGCCAAACCTACAGGCTCGGATGACGCACGTTAAACTGGGTCATATATATCCCTCGTGGTGGGTCTGTTAAATATTAACAGTGATATAGACTAAACGCTGGTCAACCGACACCCCCAAGTCGTGTAACGCACTTCTGTTGTATTTACTGTTCAATACACTATTTATATGCCACCTCTTGTTTTGTTATTTCTTAAGCATTACTTGGTTACACCAGCTTATTAAAATCACATTGATTGGTTTGCGTAATGGAACAAAATGTAGAGTTTGTAAATCTCGACAAAAAAACATTTTAGCAATACCTTCAACAATACTAAATACTGTGAGGTTTTCAACAAAACAATTCTAATCTAAAACAGTTATTACCTAAAAAGAATATTTTCTTTTTCTTTTTTTTAACAAGTGGACCACTATATTTAAATAGTACCCGCCACTATTTTATTCAGCACGACAACTATAAAAAAATCGCAAGGCCAAACGCTTCAAAAAAATTGGAATTTAGCACCAGAAAGAAATATTTATATATGGCCAGTTGTATATTGCATGCTCAAGCGTAAGAAATCCTTATAATTAATTCTTCGCTGTTAAAAAGAAAACAAACACCTAAAAATATTGTTTACCATGAAGTCCTATGAAATTAAAGAAATTATTAAACCGCAAAGTAGGGATTTTGTCAAAGTATTTTTCTAATAAATCAGCTTATTCAAATTTCATCGATTGGTTTACGAAATTGAATGTAACGTAGAGTTTGTAAATCTTGACAAAAATGTTAGGTATAACTTCAATAATGCTAACTAATAAATAATGCTAAACAATCAATATATATATGTGCAAGACAAACCTAGTTAACCCAGATGTATAAATATTCATTGCATCGGTAGGTTTTTTGTCAAAGTATTCTTCCAAACAAATATTATTCAAATTTCATCGATTGGTTTGCGAAATTGAATGAAATGTAAGAGTTTGTAAATCTTGACAAAAAATGTTAGCAATAACTTCAACAATACTGAATACTGTGAGCTTTTCAACAAAACAATTCTAGACTAAAACAATTATTCCCTAAAAAGAATTCTTTTTGCATGTGGACCACTATATTTAAATAGTACCCACTATCCTTTTATTCAGCACGAACACCAAACCCGGGTTCCAAAGGGAAATACATTAACCAACTTGAGACTAACAACGGTAGGGACTATTATTTGAATGTATCCTATTTTATTCTTTCTACCTTAATACACATCTGAGATGATAGGGGTTGTAGGGGGGGGGGCGTGGAAAGGGATATAAAATGTACGCCGCGGCTAATATGAAAGAGTTGACTTTGGAAAGGTCAAGGGGAGCAGTCGTTAATCTGTCCACAGGGAATGAAAAATCGAGACAGGTCCAGTAGACATACGTGCACATATATTTTGTGGTGCGCCCTTGTGTGTCGAATGCAGGGCTGAGATTCGGGGTTAGGGCTGAGGTGGGCGAGTAGAAAAAGACACCAGTGAAAATATATGCAATATAATCGAACCTCGGTGAACCGGGAGGTGCCGTTTAGATTCAAACCTCTAAAAACAGAAACTAGAGAAAGTGAAAAAGAAGATAAAAAAAAACAAAAAAATATTTGTTTTTGGTCGCATCTTATCTTATGCAGCATACAAAGATCTTTTCTTTTAACAGGATTGTTGGTGGGCAAAGGAGGAGTGTTTTGAAATTTCTGAGTAGCACTGTGATATGATACGTTTTGCCAAGGATCTCAATTATAAAAACGAATATAAAAGAAAACATATATATATATATATATATATGTGTGTGTGTGTGTGTGTGTGTGTGTGTGTGTGTGTGTATACTTAGATGCGTATTATATGCATTTGTGTACGTCTGTGTATTAAAATATATTGTATATGTGTTGTATTTTATATGCTTAGCTACAAACTATATGTGTATATATATATATATATATATATATATATATATATATATATATATATATATATATATATATATATATGAAAAGATATATTTGTATGCAACATACATATTCACTAATATTAATATATCATGCATATATATATAAATATATGTATGGATATATAAGGTTTTATATATATATATATATATATATATATATATATGTGTGTGTGTGTGTGTGTATACTTAGATGCGTATTATATGCATTTGTGTACATCTGTGTATTAAAATATATTGTATATGTGTTGTATTTTATAGGCATAGCTACAACGATATGTGTATAAGCTTGTGTATATATATATATATATATATATGAAAAAGATATATTTGTATGCAGCATACATATTCACTAATATTAACATATCATGCATATATATATAAATATATGTATGGATATATATAACATTTATATATATATATGTATATATATGTTAATATGTATATATAAGCATATATATATGTATATATATTAGTGTCAACATATGAATATGAAGAAAGAAAATAGAGAACGTCAGAGACAGAAGATGTTATTGTCGAAGTGTTTATAAGGAGTGAATTAAAAAAAGGAATAAACAAAGACGCTAAAAGAAACAAAGAATGAAGGAAAAAAAAAAGAAAGAGAAAGGGAAAGAAAGCAACGTAGAATGGAGAGCCCCCCCCCACTAAAAAAAGGAAAACGAACACTTAAAAGAAATAAAAATCAAAATAAAATGCTGTAAAAGAACGGAATAGGAAAAGAGGGGATGAGAGACAAACAGTGAAAGAGTTCGAACTCGAAGGATGAACGGTGAAGGCAAAAAAGAACGCAAATACCGTAGGTGATAGTAAAAAGAGATGACGTCGCGTAAATCAAGAGGAAAAATTGTTAAAAAAAATAAAAAAAAAGAGTCAGGAAAGGTTTAAGAAGAAAGAAAATAAGAATAGAAGAATAAATCCTGAAAAAAAAAAGACCAAGAATCGAAAAAAAAAAAAAGTGGCAAGAATCTTTGCGTTTAGATCACAAGAATGTTTTGAGTTGAATGTCTAAACCGAAGATATGAAATATGATCCTAACTTCATGTATTCCCTAACCCTTCACCTCCGATTTTAGGATTCTCTTTGGTTTTGTTCGGCTTTTTGTAGCTTCTCCAAGACCACAAATGCAAATTCGTTGCAATCCTCCCAATCTCGCAATATGAAGACTAATGAGGAATGAAGATGGAAAAAAGAAAAAAAAAAAAACCAGCATTCAGACGACAACAACCAAAGAGGAAATAGAATGAGTAATACATAAGAAGGAGTAATAATAGAGGGACAGGAGGAGGAGAGATAGCGTGCTTTAAGGTTGAAGGAGGAGAGTTAGCAGGAGGTAGGCACAGAATACAGAGAAATTACGGAGGGGGATAAGGTTAGAGAAAAAGGTAGGAAGAGAAGACAAATATAAAAAGCAGGGAGAATGAACGAGATTATATATAGGAGGGAGAAGATAGGAAAAGAGAGACAGGAAGTAGGAAAGAGGCTGAAGAAATAGTGAAAGGAGGAAAGAGAAAAATGAAAAGAAGTAGGAGAGAGGAAAAGAAAGGAAAGAAGAAAAAGAGATACATGAAAATTAAAGAAAGAAGGAATGCGGTACACAAAATAGATATGTAGGGGGGGAGAGAGAAAAAGTGGGACAGGAAAAAAAAAAGAAACATAAGAGGAAGAGAAAAAAAGAAGAAGAAAATATGTAGGGGGGGAGAAGAGATGAAAAGAAAGGTATGAAGAAAGAAAGAGACACGACAAATAGAAAAATGACGAACAAGGATCAATAACATATATAGGAAGAGGAATGAATTAAAACAAAGATAGGAAGTAGTTAAGAGGCAGGACAAATAGATAAAAGAAGAATGGGGAACAAGAATAGATGAAGGAGGAAGAAAAGACGAAAGGAAAGGTAAGAGAGAGAGGAGAAATAGAAAAAGAAAGAATGATGAAGAAGAACTGAAGTCTGAAGACAGAGAGACGAAAAGAAAGATAGGAAGAATGTAAGAGACAGGAAAAATAGAAAAAGGAAGGATGAGGAAGAAGAACAGATTTAGGAGGAAGAAGAGAGGAAATGAAAGGTAGGAAGGAGACAGGAAAAATAGAAAAAGAAAGAATGAGGAAGAAGAACTGAAGTCCAAGGATAGAGAGACGAAAAGACAGATAGGAAGAAGGTAAGAGACAGGAAAAAAAAATAGAAAAAGGAAGGATGAGGAAGAAGAACAGATTTAGGAGGAAGAAGAGAGGAAATGAAAGGTAGGAAGGAGACAGGACAAATAGAAAAAGAAAGAATGAGGAAGAAGAACTGAAGTCCAAGGATAGAGAGACGAAAAGACAGATAGGAAGAAGGTAAGAGACAGGAAAAATAGAAAAAGGAAGGATGAGGAAGAAGAACAGATTTAGGAGGAAGAAGAGAGGAAATGAAAGGTAGGAAGGAGACAGGACAAATAGAAAAAGAAAGAATGAGGAAGAAGAACTGAAGTCCAAGGATAGAGAGACGAAAAGAAAGATAGGAAGAAGGTAAGAGACAGGAAAAATAGAAAAAGGAAGGATGAGGAAGAAGAACAGATTTAGGAGGAAGAAGAGAGGAAATGAAAGTTAGAAGGAGACAGGACAAATAGAAAAAGAAAGAATGAGGAAGAAGAACTGAAGTCCAAGGATAGAGAGACGAAAAGAAAGATAGGAAGAAGGTAAGAGACAGGAAAAATAGAAAAAGGAAGGATGAGGAAGAAGAACAGATTTAGGAGGAAGAAGAGAGGAAATGAAAGGTAGGAAGGAGACAGGACAAATAGAAAAAGAAAGAATGAGGAAGAAGAACTGAAGTCCAAGGATAGAGAGACGAAAAGACAGATAGGGAAGAAGGTAAGAGACAGGAAAAATAGAAAAAGGAAGGATGAGGAAGAAGAACAGATTTAGGAGGAAGAAGAGAGGAAATGAAAGGTAGGAAGGAGACAGGACAAATAGAAAAAGAAAGAATGAGGAAGAAGAACTGAAGTCCAAGGATAGAGAGACGAAAAGACAGATAGGAAGAAGGTAAGAGACAGGAAAAATAGAAAAAGGAAGGATGAGGAAGAAGAACAGATTTAGGGAGGAAGAAGAGAGGAAATGAAAGGTAGGAAGGAGACAGGACAAATAGAAAAAGAAAGAATGAGGAAGAAGAACTGAAGTCCAAGGATAGAGAGACGAAAAGACAGATAGGAAGAAGGTAAGAGACAGGAAAAAAGAAAAAGGAAGGATGAGGAAGAAGAACAGATTTAGGAGGAAGAAGAGAGGAAATGAAAGTTAGGAAGGAGACAGGACAAATAGAAAAAGAAAGAATGAGGAAGAAGAACTGAAGTCCAAGGATAGAGAGACGAAAAGAAAGATAGGAAGAAGGTAAGAGACAGGAAAAATAGAAAAAGGAAGGATGAGGAAGAAGAACAGATTTAGGAGGAAGAAGAGAGGAAATGAAAGGTAGGAAGGAGACAGGACAAATAGAAAAGAAAGAATGAGGAAGAAGAACTGAAGTCCAAGGTTAGAGAGACGAAAAGACAGATAGGAAGAAGGTAAGAGACAGGAAAAATAGAAAAAGCAAGGATGAGGAAGAAGAACAGATGTAGGTGGAAGAAGAGAGGGAAGGAAAGGTAGGAAGGAGGCAGGACAAATAGAAAAAGGAAAAAAACGAGGAACAAGAAAGGATGTAATAGGAATATAAACTAAAAGGAAGGTAGGAAGGAGATAAGAGACAGGACAAATAGAAAAAAGTATGAGGAAGAACTGAAGTCTTAGGATAGAAGGTAAGAGACAGGACGAAAATATAGGATGAAGAATATTGGTAGGAAAAATTTAAGAGATAGAAGAAATCGAAAAAAAGGAAGAATACGTAACAAGAATTAATGTAGGAGGAAGATGAGAGGAAAGAAGTAGTAGGAAAGTGGTAGTGGAAGAAAAAAGACAAGACAATTAGAGAGAGGGGGAAAAGAACAAGAAAAGTGATCAGTAGAGAAAGAGGGAGGAAGAAGAAGGAAATTGGTAGTGGAAGAAAAGAAACCTGACAAGTATAGAAAGAGGGAGGGAGGAAGAAGAAAGAAAGTGGTAGTGGAAGAAAAGACACAAGACAACTAGAGAAAGGGGGAGGAAGAAGAAGGCAAGTTTTAGTGGAAGAAAAAGGACAAGACAATTAAAGAAAGAGAGAGGAAGTAGAAGGAAAGTGGGAGAGGAAGAAAAGAAAAATGACACGTAGAATAAGAAGGAGGAAGGAGAAGGAAAGTGGCAGTGGAAAGAAAGAGACAAGAGAGTTAGAGAGAGGGGGAAAAGAACAAGAAAAGTGGCAGTGGAAGGAAATACACATGATCAGCAGAGAAAGTGGGAGTAAGAAGAAGGAAAATTTTAGTGGAAGAAAAGAGACAAGACAATTAAAGAAAGAGAGAGTGGAAGAAGAAAGAAAGTGGTAGTGGCAGGAAATACACTTGATCAATAGAGAAAGAGAGAGAAAGGAGAAGGTAAATGGTAGTGAAATAATAAAAAAAGAAGACATTTAGAGAAAGTAGGAGAAAGAACAAGAAAATTGGTAGTGGCAGGAAATACACATGATCAGTAGAGAAAGGGGGAGGAAGAAGAGGGAAAGTGGTAGTGAACGAAAAGAGCCAAGTAGAGAAAGGGGGAGGAAAAAGAGGGAAATTGGTAGTGGACGAAAAAAGTCAAGTAGAGAAAGGGGGAGGAAGAAGAGGGAATGTGGTAGTGGGAGAAAAGAGACAAGTAGAGAAAGGGGAGAAATAGGAGGGAAAGTGGTAGTGGAATAAAAGAGACAAGTAGAAAAAGGGGGAGGAAGAAGAGAGAAAGTGGTAGTAAAAGAAAAGAGACAAGTAGAGTAAGCGGGGGGAAGAAGAGGGAAAGTGGCAGTGGAAGAAAAGAGACAAGTAGAGAAAGGGGGAGGAAGAAGAGGGAAAGTGGCAGTGGAAGAAAAGAGACAAGTAGAGAAAGAGGGAGGAAGAAGAGGGAAAGTGGTAGTGGAATAAAAGACACAAATAGAAATTCGGAGGTAGAAGAGAGAAAGTGCTAGTTGAATAAAAAAGACACGTAGAGAAAGGGGGAGGAAGAAGAGGGAAAGTGGCAGTGGAAGAAAAGAGACAAGTAGAGAAAGGGGGAGGAAGAAGAGGGAAAGTGGTAGTGGAAGAAAAGAGACACGTAGAGAAAGGGGGAGGAAGAAGAGGGAAAGTGGTAGTGGAAGAAAAGAGCCAAGTAGCGAAAGGGGGAGGAAAAGAGGGAAAGTGGTAGTGGAAGAAAAGAGACAAGACAAGTAGCGAAAGGAGGCTGACGGAACAATAAATGATGTCAGAGGAAGACAATAGGAAAGGGGAGACAAGAAAGCTTGAAGAGAGATGGCAAGTAGAGAGATGTAGAAGGAACAAGACAAGAGACAAGTGAAAAGAGAGAGGTAAACGCAGGCAGATAGCAGACATACAGACAGTAAGGAGGAGGAGGGGGAGGAAGAAGAGGAAGGGGAGGAGGAATAAGAAAAGATATTTCTAGCGTCCGGAAGAAGAAAAAAAGAAGAGTAGAAACTTAAGCTTAAATAGGAATTAAATAGAATGGAAAAAAATTGAAATTAACAGACTTCGTACAATGAAACCTAACGCAAAAATTCATAAAAAGTAGAATTGATGAAAATGTAAATGAAAGGAGGATAATGTCCGAATATGTAGGGGAATCCTAAAACCAATAGAAGAATTTGAAACTGCGTAGAAATAACGAATATTAGCGAAGAATAATAGAAAAAAAGAAAAAAAATAACTACAAAAATAAATTAAAATTTTCCTCCCGAATATAGCTATTTCGAACATAGCAATGTATGAGATTAATGTAGGAACTAAATTTACTTTCTCCATAATTTTCTCTCTCATTATCCAACTCTCTCTCACAAAAAAAAAACACACTCTACACGCGTTGAAAAGTGTTGATGTCAGTAACATTAAAACTCGGTTAATTTAATCACGGTTTGTTTTCATTGTCTTTCATTCTTTGTATTCCTTCAAACATACGACATATTTCGTGATTGAAAGATGTCATCATATATAATATACATCTGGAATATTTATGACAGCATTGTTAAAAATCATGTGGTATGTCATTAATCCTGGAAAATCGTCAACATGACACTGCCCGACCCAGGAATTGAACGCCTTGCAACATTTAACCAAATTATTTTCCGGCTTACAAGACGCATATTTTTCCTATAAAATCCCCTGAAAAATACGTGTGCGTCTTCCAAGACGAATGTAAGGCAACGCGCAGGTTCAAGTAAGCTTGGTGGGGGGGTGTCTCCTAATAAGATTTGTATGTTGAGTTATTACACTATAATGTTAGCTATCTATCTAATTCAGCTCTTTATATGATGTAACCTCAGTACTTAGCTGTTACAAGTATTTCCAAAACTATGGACCTTCCTGGAGCCGAGCCACAAGCTTAAACATGCTCTTTTGTTGAGTTCCTTTGTTTATCCGACTCAAAGCTCCAACCACATCATGAACTGTTTTGGGTTTTAAGTGTCACATTTTTTCTCTATTTCCATGTCCATATCATTTTATTTGCTTAGTTAGTCAAAAATCTTCACAGATAAGTTTTTGTCACTTGGTAGGATAATGAAAATCTGTGTACAAACCTTTCCTTTTTTTTGTCTTTGATAATATTATCCGGGCGTTTTCATTGTATAGTTCGATGTGTGCTGTTGGAAAATATCCAAAGAATGGTATCAGCTGCTCCTAGAGTCAGGATGTTGTTCCTACCAGTTTGCAACTCTTTTATTCTGTAGTGATGGCAGATCATCCAATGCAGATATTGACATAGCCAGTCATGACAGTTTATATACTCATTGGGTGTGTGTGTTGAGCATCCTGACTTAAGGTGATCAGTAGATTCAATCTATTAGTCCCAGAACAGATAGCTAGATAGATGAACAGACCGAAAGAGAAAAAAAAGATAAACTGACTGAAATTGATAGATTCATAGATAGATGAACAGAATGAGATAGATAGATAGATAGATAGATAGATAGATAGATAGATAGATAGATAGATTGCAGCTATTTTTGCCCTGTTTTGGTGACAGATCATCCAATGCAGATATTGACCTACCCTGTCACGACGGTTTTTTTTACTCTTTACGTGTGTTCATCATGACTTTAGGTGATCAGTAAATTCAATCTATCGGTCCCAGAAACTACATTTTTGGTTAGTACTATTATAAAAGTTATTAGATTGTAAGGCATGCGTGTACAGTGTGTGGTCGTGTACAGCGAGAATAAATCCTTCAGTCCATATGATTTATAGCAAACTATTTCATTAATTGCTCTTACTAATCAACTAATAGAAGATTTTAAAAGGAGCATGACCCTCCCGATCGTGTTACTCACGTTTAAGTTGCACTTCTTTCGCGCAGGCTGCGTTTCATTTGTTTTGTCGCGTTGTTTACCACTACAACCGTTTTTCTCAAGACAAATGACGTCTGTAGAAAGACTTGTATTTTTTTGTTTTTTTAAAAAATGTTTTTATACTTGTATGCAATTTTAAAACATAACCTGAAGAAGTCAGAACTACTGTCGAAATATTGTTAAATATTTTTTAGACATTGGGTCTTTTCTTTTACTTTTCTTAAACTGGAACTTGAAAAATAGTGGAAGAGTTACGTCAATCACTTTATTTATTTATTTATTTATTTATTATTATTATTATTATTGTAGATATTGTAGTTTCCTGATGTATTTAATTCTGTTCATGATCATTATCCTTATTATGTTAGAAGATTTTATTTTCCTGGAGAGATGGTGCACCAAGGATGTTGTTATTTTGTTCTTGAGTTCCTTTCTTTATCAGACCCAGAGCTCCAACCAGAGCAAAAAGTGTTTTCGTTGTGGCACATTTTTTTTTTTATTTCCATCTCAATGTCAATGTATTCGCAGAAATATTTTTGTCACTGGGTATGCTCATATCATTCAGTGCGAAATCTTTTTCTTCCCTGTTTTTGGTAATAATGTCGCTGCAATATGCTTGTATTGATAGAAAATTCCCAGAGGATGGTAACATGTGATCCCTCAACTGCAGATTCAGTACGATATTTATACCAGTTTGCAGCTGTTTTTATGTTGTTGTGGTGAGAGATCTTACAATACAGTTATTATTATTATTATTATTGTTTTATATCCTTTGATTTCTGGCGTTTACTCATTTCTTTCCGGGTCCCGCCCAGGGAACTAAGGTTAGAAATGGCATCATGACGTTTTCCACTGAAAAAAAATAAAATAATAATTTACATAGACAAAGCCCTTCGTAAGGTGTGGGTTGTACTCGTGAGAACAATTTTTTGTATTTTTTTAAGGTATGGGCTTCCAGGAATCCTTTCAATTTGTCCACTGCAATCTTTTCCAAACAATCTGAGGGCTCCAACTACAACAAGGATTGTTGATGATTCCATATGCCACATTTTTGAGATTTCGATTTCAAGGTCCTTGTATTTTGACAGCTTTTTGAATATCTTCAAAGATACATTGCAGTCTGCAGGGATTGCCATATCAATAAGGAGGCACCTTTTTGTGTGCGATCTCTAATAACAATGTCTGGCCGGTTGGCTTTGATTGTTCTCTCTGCGTGTATTGTGTAGTCCCATAGAATTGTAACAGGTCCTATCTCCGTAACCGGGTCTGGGTGGTGTTCATAACAGTTTCTTTCAGTTTTCTTCCCGTAGAAGTTGCAGATTTTCCAGTGCAGATATTGGCCCACTCTGTCATGTCGGGTTTTATACTCAGTGGGTGTCAATACCCCGCAAACCTGATACAAGATAATCGATTGTTTCTGGGTAATTATCACAGAAGCTGCATTTTGGGCTAACGCAATATTTTAGTATGTGTGCTTGATAATTTCGGGCTAACAAGCATTGGTCATGGGCAGCAAGGATAAAACCTTCCGTTTCAGCTGTTATCCCTGCACTACGCAGCCGCTGATGGGTACGGGGTTTGTCTACATCAGCATGTTTGAAGCGGTTTATCTTGCCATTGTTTCTGCATCTGGTCGGGTGCATTTTTTTGTCGTCTTTTTTATGTATTTTGCAGCTTCAATCGGTGTATTGTGCTTTACTTGTATTTCTGCATCCATTTGAAACTCTTATTATTATTATTATTATTATTTATATACCTCGCTTGCTTTCTTTTTTTTCTTTCTTTCTTCCACTGTTGTTTGTATTGTCCATTTCATTTCGTCCATATATTATTATTATTATTATTATTATTATTATTATTATCGTTCTGTTGTAGCAGTAGTAGTAGTAGTCATTCATTTTTGTTATGACATTATTATTATTATTATTATTTGTGTATGTGATTAATGTAGTGTGAAAAGTTCCATAAACCTTACAGGTTTGTCATTTTCTAGGGATTATTATTATTATTATTATTATTATTTATCGTTCGATGCGTGTTGTTCGGAAAAATTCCAAAGGATGGTAACAGTTGCATCTAGATTCTGGATGATTTTCATACCAGTTTGCAGCTGTTTTATCCCGTAGTGATTTGCAGATCATCCAATGCAGATATTGACCTACCCTGTCATGACGATTTTTGTATTCATTGGGTGTGTATGGGTCATCCTGAGATAAAATGGTCAATAGTTTCAATGTATCGTTCACAAAACTTTTATTTTCGATTCATACTATTATCCAGTTGGCTTACGGTTACATCACATTGAAACACTGATCCGTGTACGATCACCGAAGTTAAGCAACGTTAACTCTGGTCAGTACCTAGATGGCTGACCGCTTGGGGATAGCAGGTACTTCAAGCTTGGATGAAGATAATGGCTTTGAAGTGTTCCGAGTTACAATTTCAGTTGGGTTTCTTATATTACCTCCCCCCAGTTATGGGTTAATTAGTAAAACTTTTATCATTAAATTATTATTATAAAAAAAAAAATCTTACGATCCAAAAATATTTCCCGGATTTAATAACTTTCAAAGTGTTGATAAAACGTAAAAAACGAATCAATCAATAAAAATATTATCAATTCTTAAATACGTCAACATCAAGTTCAGCTGAAGGTACGGACATTTTCCATTCTTAAAATTTTATACCTACGAGGTCCGTCTGAAAAGTAAGAGGATTGTCACAAAGACATTATTTCAATTCCAAGCAACAAACTACACGGTTTCTCCTTCAAAGTAACCCCATCGATTCTAATGTAACTTTCCATTCTTCTCTGTTCTGCATCTATGCACTGCTGGAAGAATTCATCTTGGATTCCCATCAGCTCTGCCGTTACGGCCCTCTTGATGACGTCAATGGCTTCAAAACAGGTCCACTTGAGATATGGGGAAAAGAAAACGTCACACGGAGAAAGTTCAGGCGAATAGGGAGGTTCTTCCAGTACGGCGATGTACTTCTCGACCAGGAACTGCCTGATGCTCAGGGCGTTCTGAGCAGATGCATTGCTGTAGCGAAGCAGCCAAGATTTGTCCTGTCACAACTCTCATCTCTTCTCGTGCACTGACCGAAACAAACTCCTCAGGATCTCTTTGTCGAAGTACTGAGTGATTGTCTGGCCGTGTGACAAGAACTCACTGTGGACGATGCTTCTCACATCGAAGAAACGATAAGTCCCGTTAATTTTCAGACATACTTCGTCTAAATTTCTTTACAGTTTTCAATAACCATTCCATTTCATCATCATTTCTCCGACAAAATATTGAAAGAGAAATCGAGTTACTTTGAAAATACAGTAGAATCCCTGACAACCGGACTAAGAAGGCCTTCCGGATATGAGGAATTGGTTACAAAAGTCCGGACAGAAGGGGTTATATTGACATTTTAAAAAAGAACTGAAATCAGGTTTAACATTCACTAGCAGTAGAGCCCGGCGTTGCCCGGGGATGTAACAGTAAGAGATAGATCAAGTATCAACCATCATAAAGACTGAAAAATAAAATTGACAAAGATTATTGTTTAACACGCATGTCTTAATTAGTTTTTTTTTGTTTTTTTTTTACAAATTGGTCAAACTCAAACAAAAACATTGTTTTCAATCGTTATGAGTCTATCGATTGAATAGAATTTTATTATAAACAATTGTCTTGTAAATGGAATTTTTAAAGCATTCTGAATGTAAAAATAAAGAAAAAAAAAGTGTGCAGGACAATAAGAAACACTAAAAAAAAAAAAAAAAAAAAAAAAAGAAGTGAAGTTTTGTTGAAATCGGTTGAAAAATGTAGGAAATCCGATCCCATATATAAACGAACACAAACACACAAAAACAACCTGAGTTTTACAATAAGTATAACTCGATATGAGTAGTCCCCTTTCATTCTGGCGACAGAATCGTGTTTTATCGTGTTTTCAAATTGATTTTGTGCAAAAACATTTGTGTTTTTCCAAATTTTGGCACTGTCAGAACCACCGCAAGGTAATTTTACGCAGTCCAGTGAAGTTTTGTTGAAATCGGTTGAAAAATGTAGGAAATCCGATCCAATATATAAATGTACAGACACACACACACACACACAATCTACGTTTTATAATAAGTAAGATTTTCAATGTTTTATAGTAAGCAAAATAAGCTAAGCTGAGTGAAATATAACGGAATTGATTTGAAAGAAAAAGAAATAACTTATGTAATGTTAATGAAAATTCATTAAATTAAGTATGCCACGTCTGCAAAACAAATAATGTCACGAGGATTTTTATATCGCTGTTGCATGATGATTCTTTCTCTTCTAATGTCATTCTCAACTTTTTCCATATTTTGTTTTGCTTTTGTTCTTGAATTTTTTTAAAACGAAATACACATTTTAACCCTGCGTACCTTATTGCAATCGTCATAGCTGAATGCTGGCTTTCTTTCCATAAAACTGACAACCTTTTCAATACCTTTTTCAATTTCAGTCCAGGTTTCATCACAATCAGGCATCCCGTCACTATCTTGTTGCAGATGTGTCTCATTGTCATCCTTTCCTCTTATTCCCATCATCCTTTGCCCCAATACAAGCCCTTAGGGTGAAATAAGCATAAGCAATTATCCAAAGTAAATTTCCTGAAAAACAGAAATTTCAAATCATTTACATATCACCAAATTAG